ATATTTGGGATTATGTAATGACAAAACATTTATGAAAAAAATCAAAAGTTCAAGAAAGCATGAAATTACATTAATTCAGATGAACTGTTAGTAATTACACAAGGTGATAAATTGGACTTTTCTAATTGCCTGTAACAATTTCATATATTAAAATGCCTCAGTTTTCTTGTTATTCAGTAATACAGGGATGTTCTTAAAATAGACTGATTTGGAATTGCTACACCTATGCCCGAGCATTTTAAGTAATCTTAAACACATTCATTTCAAGCTCCCAATCATGAGTTGCTGCTTGCGACGAGGTTTTTGTTCCCATCAGACATATTTAAGAACTAGTTCCCTAATCCCAGGAAATCTGACCATTACTTCACACACGGTTGTGCAAGTTAAACCTACCACTAAGACTTTTAAGGCAGTTTTATATTAAAAAACCAATGTATGGCTAATGGGGGGAATTAGAAGATATTATTCATGTTACAATCAACAATTAGGTCAGTGCTGAGCTTTAAAACACAAGAAATACAGTATGGCTGAACCTATTAATTGACTTATTAACACAAGTACTTAAGCAGGAAATATTTGTATCTATCAGTTACATTTGTTTCTATCTCCATAGATCATCACTTCAAGTAAACACCTCGGCCACCATTGTGGGTTTGCTCATCTTCTCTCAACGGCAGCTCTGTACTCAATAAAGTTACGTGATGGTCATCTTCAGCCCAAAATGCCATTCTTCCCACCTTCTCTTTTTATTGTAATTGAATGGCTACACTGAAGTCTTGCAGGCCATAACCTTTGCTGCCATAAATCAGCATGATTTCCTTCACCCAAGGGGTGTTAGTGACTTACACCACCTGAAAAAAGCTCTAGCCCATTCCCTCTCTCCATTCCTCCCTTCATACCCAGCAAGGAGCAGAACACCACCTTCACCTCAAGTACTCCCACTTCCAACAGAGAAAGTTCTGTCATTCTCCAATTCGGTTTCCACAAAATGCCATATGTTTTGCTTGTTCTGAGCTCATACCTTCCTTGCTTAGCTCTGCAAATGTTTCCAGCCAAAGATGATGACTTCTTGCCACACACAGCTGAGTCCATATATTTCCACTCCTCACTGTGAAGAATCACTTGGTCACCTGAGCATTTTGCTTAGCCTACATGACCTCATTATCACATCCAACTGATTAATTGTGCTATACCAATAGCAATCTGCCAACATGCACAGTGCTTGGAAAAAAAAAAAGTTGGGTTTTTTGTTAAAACTCACAGCTGAGAGCACAATGCAGTGTGAGGGAACTCATTGTTCGTAAAGCAAGATAAATACAGACAAAGAATGGAAGGAATTATGTAGGAACTAGGTGATAATTTATTTATAGTTCTCTGCAGAAACACTGAAGTTAGCAAATATACCATCTGTTAAACAGTCATACTATTCCTAAGTGCATATTAGCAATCTAAATGTGTGCCAAACACCTGATCTTAGCGATCTTATTTGATATTCTTTTTGACAAGCAACATTATGCTTTATTAGATTATGTCATGTTATAAAGCTATGCCTGGTAACAGTAACTGGGGGAACAGAGTGGTTGTGCTCTGTTGGTGTAAATGCCTGCTCAGGGCAAAGAGAAGTGGTTTTGAGAAGCAGATAGATTTTCAGAATAACGAGAGCAAAGTAGAATATCTACATTTATATTCTTTTTCAGGGTTTGGGTTTTTTTATATATTTATATATATTTTATATATACTTAACACATTATATATTGCAATTAATCATTGAAAATACATACAAGCCCATGGGGGGGAAAATGGATGTAAAAATATTCGCTTCCAGGAAAAACAAACATTATTTCTGATGGTCCACCCCATTCCTCTGTTTATCACCCTGGGCTACATAGCAAAGACAGACAATTTTATAACTCATTATTGAATCCCATCTGAATGAGGTGTCATAATATTTCATAGGAAATGCTGCCTGCCTGGAGAAAGAGTCCAATAAAGATGACGACAGAAGTAAGACTGACTCCCTTAATGAGTTATTTTTATTCATTTTGCTTTGTTTCACCCTGAAAGAGGTTTTTTTTAATATTGAATGATCCTTTATTACAGAAAGAGAAAGCAAATTTATTTCATACAATTATCTATCAAAATCAACTCCAGTTAGAGAAAAAAGATCATTCCTGTTTAGGCCTATTAGATTTTTGGAGGTTGGGGTTCCTAAGAGATGCAGTGTGATGACCTCAGAGTCAAGTACTGGTTGTCTAAAGAAAATGGCTGTCCATAGAGGTCTTTAAAAATGGGTTAAATACGTATCTGTTAGGAAGGACATAGCATACTTGTACATGTCACAGGCCAGAGAAGTACATTAGATGACCATTTATGTGCCTCCATATCTACTTTTTTTATACCTAGGATTCACTGGAAAGTGTGATGGGATGAAAATCTCTCCAGCACTAGGAAAAGCTGAGCTGCTTGGATAACTGAACTCTAAAACTGCTGTGAAACAGCTCGGACTCTTGCATGCAGATTTCAATAGTTTAAGGTTGAAAGTGTAGATTAAAAAGGCAAAATCAACTTTTTCTCCTCATATTATCAAAAATAGTCCTGCTAATTATAAAATAGTGGCTCTCCTAAGAGATTTAGTGTTACTGTTTTTTCAATATTTAGAGCAGGGATACTTGTCATGATTTTAACAGGGAAACCGACAGGTGATACAGTATCTAAAATTAGAGTAAAAATGATACCATGACATATGGTGTCATTAAACTAAGAATTGCTACTAGCAACTTATTACTTTCCAAAATCTATTCCAATTTCAGAGTAAAGTATTACATAGTTAATTCTGAATTGTCACAAAAACCTTTTGCTACTGCTGCACTGCGCTTCCTTCCCCCCACCTTCTCAGGGGTCTCATAACAAGTGACATTTTGTCCTCAGCAAAAAGTAGACCTGATTTACCAGAGCAGAAAGCACTGGAAACCACTACTTATACTACATATACTGTCCATACAGACCAAGAGTTTGGGGGTTTTTTAACTCCATTTTCAATGTAGAAACTCCACAAGCTGCCTTGTATTAGCAGCTCAGGAAAAGTGATAAGAAAGGGAAGTGTGACCATTTTTATTGCTAGTACCTGAATCTTAAGAGATCTGAATGTTTTGCACCCTTACAATCTTTTTTTCTATTTAACACAATAAATAGGAAAGTTTTAGGATTTTTCTTCCCCCCATACAAAGTTGGCCCCTTCTCCCAGAGCACGTAAGCCTCAGGGCAGCCAACCCAACCAAATCCCCATCTAATGTCTTGACAGTTGACCCAAGGGCCACTTTTCCACACAAATATTTTGTGCTGGCCTTCTCAGAAAACACTTAACCCACAGGAAAAAAGAAAGCTGATAATTTTCTCAGACTGAATGTTCAGAACAGGTAAAAAATAAATCCATGCATTTGGAGACTAGACCAGTAAGTATCTTCCAAGTATGAATCCAAACTCCATTTGGTCATATTACATCCATCCACTTGTTTTCTTTTCCAATTAGTATTACTGGATGGAATAATTAAGTAAATATACTTTTTTTGGCCTTTCTTGTCTTTGTTTTATCCCTCCAGACTACCCAGACTGCAAGACAGGTCTAGCCAGCAGGCAATTAAAAGAACATCAGGGTTTAAAACACTTTCCCAGTGTATTGACAGGTACCATCTATTGCGGCTATGACAGCACAAGGAGGTGCTACAGCTGCCTAATTCAATTCAGGCACCTGAGTAGACAATGTCTTCATAGGAGACCAATATACAGGAGACGAAGAGGAGGAAAAGAAAAATTAACTGTGTGAAGTTCAGCTAAGGGGAAGAAAATTGATATATTGACATAAATAGCTGAGCCTGTACAGGTAGCAATCGTTATTGTTTTGGCCAACGAGAACTGTTTCTCTCTATTGAACTCTGGATCAGGTAGTTGTTCAGCAATGAAAAATGGAACAATTGTTTGAAACAAGAATCTGCAGCAAGGTAAATAAAATAAGCTTAAGGCAAGCAGTATAAGACACTATGGAATAAAGATTTTGAAGCAGAAGTTGATATTATCTATTACATTAAAGCATACTTTGAGTGTATTTCAAGCAATCCTTTCCCAAAGTACTCTGACAAGATTAGTAAGTCTTCTCATTAGGATAAGAACAGAATCAAAAAGTAAACGATCAGTTTAAAGGACATCTATTGTGTCAGGTTTTATAACTGAATTATTATTTAAAGGCAATGAGATTGATAAAAATACTTCCGCACCTTAGTGAAATGCAAAAAACCAGAAGAAACTGAGTATGATAGATTCAGTAAAAAATTAATAGCCATAAAAATCACCTATGGAAAATAGCCATGGTCATGTTTATACAGGAGTTTTTCCCCAAACCATCACATCATTTCCTACTGAAAGAATCCTCTTTCTTCCCTTCAAAACCAGTGCTAAAGTTTCTTAAAGTCAATTAAAACATATCTACTTACTGCAGCCAGCTCTAGGACAGAACAGACTCATTAAGAAGACAACATACTTTTATCATCATTTAAACACAGAGTCTGTGGGAGTCCTGATGATGTTTAATTATCATTTGTATATATAGATGAGCACACCTGCTTTTTATTTCTATAGAGAAGGAAACAACACAAAACACTTATCCTACTCATGTAGATTAAGAGTCTAGTATGCTCCAAAAAATGATGCTAGAAAAGAGACACAGAACAATACATCAGCTTTGCAATTAGGAATTGTAAATACAAATTCACAGGGTTAGAGTATAAATGCTTTATGAATAGGTATTTGATGATTGCCAAAAGACTAGATCCTAGGTTTGATGAGCTGTTTTTCCATAGGGAGCCAATTCACACGCAGAGGTTATGTTGTGCTATTGAATATATGAATAGATTCTTGAGTTACATAAGCTTTGCACAACTTGGGGTACAAGTAGGTATAAATCTGACCGATAATAACTGGGTCTTGTTTTCTCCTTCTCTCTCAAGTTCTTGAAAATTTTGAAAGAAAACCAAGAAGCACGGTGTCAGTCAGAGAAGGACAAGGAGTGGTTCTGCTCTGTGGTCCTCCACCACATTATGGAGGTATGCTGAATAGCCCTACGTTGTGTGCAGCCTGAACATCAACTGCTGTACCTCAGGAGAAGTAGTCTATGCAGTTCCCTGCCTGATTAGCACTGGAATTTATTTGTGCATGAAGTGGATGGGTCTACAACAAATTTGGGTTTAATTTCTTTAAAGGGCACTGGGGCTTGCACTTCTTAAGGGACCCTTTTTTATTGTTCTGTGGTTACCTGAGGGACTAGAACACGTCATCGCTCTCTGGGTGCAACACAAGCAAAGAAAGCATAAAAGGTCTGAAAGACTCTGTCAGCTCCTTCACCATATGGAATGGCAGAATAGCAACCAACAGCATTCTTTCTACATTAAAACCACTTCAGGTCTGAGTGGAATGACTATTTTGGCTTTTAGTGCTTGCTACTTCAATGCTATAATTTGAATGCTGCATTTCACACCTTAGATTTGTCATGAAAATTTGTCTTTTCTTGAATACTCAATTCTCTCCTTCCTGTAATCATAAAAATCATAGAAAAATTCCAATTGGAAGGACCTTCTGGAGAGGTAAACTCTCTGATCAAAGGAGGTCTGATTAGATCAGGTTGCTTGATAATTTTCAATGCTTCAGGTAAAGCATGAAAAGGATTTTTCAGGGGAATTGATTTGGGGATGCCTTGCATCTGTTGCCATCGCCTACTGCTGGTGCTTAACCATAAGGCTGGCTTTGAGGTCTTGCTTCCTGGACAAGGCAAAGTCCAGGTGACAAGCAGCAAACTAGTAATGCACTTAGCACTACATTTCAGACTTTTCATCAAGACAACCCTAAGCATGGGGCACAATTTGCTTTTTCCTCCTTTTTGTAGCTGTAATACCACCTCCAACATCAGCATTAACAGAGCAGTACAAAGGCTTGAATATGTATGCACACTGCTGCTGTCATTTTTTCTTAACACTTTTTGTACCTACCAGAAGTGAGAGGTTCCTGAGTAATCTTTTGATATTAATTTTTTTCTCCCCAACATTGACTCTTGCAAGTTTTGAGCCCTATGCATTCACAAATCTCCTTCAGGGGTGTTAGAACCCAGATCAAAACTGCTTCAGCGCTTTTGAAGTCTGGAGTAAGAACTACGGTTTCCTAACATAATTAGCTGAAGATGACTGGAAATTTTACCCAGGAAAAACAAATGTGTATTAAAAAGGGGAAACATCAACGGCACAGTTACCAAATTGCCT